AATTTGTGAACATTTTCAAGGGTTATTTTGAGTTTGGGGAGTGCAAGTTAATCACTATTTTTAATGACATATATCTTTTTTTTATTTATATTTGACTTTGATATTTATATTGAAGTGATATATCCCATTTACTGAAATAAAATGGCGAATCCAAGCCAGTACCACGTGGTTCAAAATTGTGGTTTGTTTACCCTCATAATTTAAAACGTACATGTAATTCTACATATTTATAACGGTGAATCAGCGACAAAGGTTATTTTCTGTGATTATAATGTTGTTTAGGTATTTGAATGCAAACACCACCACCGTTACCATACTTGCTGGATGAACAAAATTTTGCATTTTTACTTTTGATCATTCAATATGATTTTTACCGTAGAAAGCTTCGTATGCCTCTTTCAACTTATAACTTCATATAACAGCATTAGATCACGAATTCTTGAAAATGAAAACCAAGATCTACTGGTTATGAAAGATGTTTATGGTACATTAATTTCTCGTTCATTTGATTTTTTGAGAATTTCTGGTGAGAATGTCCTTTCATTTGAAGAACTTTTTGTGTTAATTTTACCAAAAGTTGGGGGATTGCGACACGGTCAAAGAAATGTAAACGTGAGAAATCGGCTACTTCTTACACATGTATGGCCCAGACAGTATCCCACTTATCCAATTATTTCTCTTATCTTTGGAATTTGTAATATATTAGTTGGATCAATTTAAATACAATGTGGCTGATTTTGTGGGAAGCATGCAGCCCATTGATTTTATGACCTGATTTAAACTCTTGGCGACAAAAAATAGGAAAATTATCAGAAATGCCAAATGTATTTTTTTACCTTGTATTGATGGTACATCTCATTAATTACAAGCACAGAACCTCAAGAAGAATTTCACGCTGGTCATCGCAAATTTCATTGTTTCCATACACAGGTAACTATATTTATTTATCACGTACGGCCTTACATTTTACTTCCGTAGATCTAACACGCGGACCTCTACGAAGACACCCATGTGCAGAGTTAAAATCACATAACATACCTTTTCTGTTTCTTTGTTAATTATATGTACAATTGGGAGAACAATCATAACGCGGAATCTTTGAAAACAGATGAAATCTGTGGCTGTTACCTCTAGAAATCCGAAGTGTTTTTTTTTTCTGCTTCTTATATTTGAAAGACATTAAGGGACATAAAAAGACATATTTTTATTTACTTCCTTTATATATAAGTGTGCGCTTTAAATCATTTATTTTTGGTAATTTCATCTGCCTCTGTTTTCGGGGTTTTTTTTTCTCTTTGTTTCTTTTTGCTTTCTATGTCTTTTTGGTTGTTATTTTCTGTTCTAATACTATTATGATATTTTTTTAGATTATAATAGACAACCAAAAAAATAAATAATACATTCACGCGGGATTTCTGGGACATAATAATGACGCCTTTGCATATCAACAAATTAAGCCTATAAGACCTGGGTTGTCTACCCCACACACGCTTGTGGTCATTTTGATATTTATTTATATCTTTTTTTGTCTTCTAAATTGTTGTACGGCTTGAAAGTGATCTTTAATTTGTCGTATGCATTGTTAACGGACCAAGCATGCCTTTTGTCTGGTTAAATGTCCATAAAAATACTTTATAGATAATCTTATGACCAGTTTATACACTTAAACAAATTGCCATCGTCAGAGGTTGACAAAAAAGCTTTACAACAGAAATCGTTTTTGAACGGGTTAAGGTTCATCTTACTCTTTTGGCTAATATGGCCGTATTTACACCACAAATTTTACTCAGAGTATAGACAAACCTGTGCACCTGGAAAAGTTTTAAGGCATGGCAGGAACTAGATAACTAACTTTTAAATGCATTTTATGTTGCAAAAAACAATACACTTTTCTGGATTTTGCTATTCATTTTTTTTTCGTTCCTGCAGAAGGTGCCAAAATAAATTAAGTTTGGAAAGAGGTTTGAGAAGCTCCCCTCATATAATTAATGTTGTGAGTAGTATTGATTTAAATGGACAATAAATGAACAATAGACATCTGCAAACAAAAGGTGATTTAAACTGTGTAACTGAGTGGACCGTTTCAAATGAAACTCGTGTGTTTGTTTATTTTTCCACCTTCTGCAGACTGGAAAATAATGCGAATCAAATACCAGGTAAGTTTTTAATTTTCTAAAACATAGACAACATATAACCTTTATATATGTAGGTTCTGTCATGCCTTAAAACTTTCATAGATGCATCAGTCTGTCTGTACTTATTGTAGATTTTGTGGTGTAAAAACGACCATATTTTTCAATTCCTTTTGATGAACCTTAAAAAATCTATATATATTTTTTTTATATAAACTGATCGATGTGATGGTCAAAAACTTTAATGGCCAATTATATAGACAGATAACAATACGATCCCACAACTGCACATTTATATATTGGTTCAAAGCATTGAAATTATGCATTCATATCTGTATGAGTATAGTTAAACTTGTCGGTGCACTCGAATAATCCTATGCGTGATGTACATTTCATCATGCTTTCAAAACATGATATCGTAACATACGTAATACTTTTTGAAAATTTTAAACATCTTTTGTCAATATATTATGAAAACCATTTTAAAATTGGTATATTTAATGCATTTCTCTCTTTTATCGTGATTGCATCCAAATACAGTTCAAACATGATAAAACCTTTTAGGTTTTAAGTACGTTTGTAAACATACAATTACCGCTCCTAAAACGTTCGGTTCGTTCGTCAATATCCTGGTCATCCCTACTATATGCATACATGTACTTTAAATTGCTAAAAGTGTTTATATTTACTCTTTCGCGGTCATTAAACCACATAGATCCCTGATGAACATAACATTTTTGTATGGGTGCTTTGTCCTTTCGAAAACCCATAAGTAAGCCGTTTGCACTGGCACTATTGGAGCTTTTTTCAAATAATCTGGGAAGACAGAAGTTTATTAATCTGTTTTCCAAGAAATCTTTCGAAATTGCCTTTAAATTTAGCTCATCGTTGATGTTAGTTTTGACATTTGTTTTATTGTATCAATGCTTGGAAGTTGCTCATTGATTTCAAAAGAGTTTTTACCAATATCCTTCGCTACATATTTAAAAAAGTCATTGAAAACATTACATATATCCTTTTTATTTTTGTACTTAAATTAAAAGCAGATCATCCCATTGTAGTCTTACAAAAAATACTGAAGACCCCTTATCATTATTTAAATTATTTCAAGTCGTGAACATTTGAAATTGTTTTTTTTACAATTTTCCCATAGACTTCTATAGCAAACCCCTATGTTCTATTTTAGCCATGGCAGCCATGTTTACATTTTTCAATCAAGATACCCTATTGAAAATTGTGGCTAAGTTTAAATCTATTTGGCCCACTAGATAAGGTGGAGAAGATTTTGGTAAAAGATTACAAATATTCAAGAAAAATTGTTAAAAATTGATTGTAAAGGGTAATAATTCCTTAAGGGGACAATTGATCATTTTTGTCAGATTTGCTCTAAATGCTTTAGTTTCAGAGATATAAGCCAAAATCTGCATTTTACCCCTATGTTCTATTTTTAGCCATGTGTTTTTGTGCAATACACTGTGCTGTTGCGGAATACTTAGTAAATCTATTTTCAGACTATATACAAAGAATTAGCTAAATAAATTGTGATCCCCAATTTTTCTTTGGAAAATTGACAATTTCTTAAATCTTGAGGAAAAAAAATTATGCCGCCCTCTTTCCAAAAAAATAACATTTCAAGAAATTTTCTTTTTGTAAAATGTGGTACAATTTAAGAGATATCAATACATTTAAACACAAGTTATTGTCTGAAAACTAGAAAAATGCTTGTTTTAGACCCTTTTTGGCCCCTAATTCCTGAACGGTTTGAGCAATTACCCCAAAAATGAATCCCAACCTTCTACTTGTGGTATTGAACCTTATGGTACAATTTCAGAGCAATCAAAATACTTATACACAAGTTATTATCATGAAACACGAAAAATGCTTGTTTTGGGCCCCTTTTTGGCCCCTAATTCCTAAATGGTTGGGACCTTCACCCCCAAAAACAATCCCAACCTTCCTTTTGTGGTATTGAACCTTTTGATTAAATTTCATTGAGATCCATACACTAAAGTTATTGTCCGGAAATTAAATGTCTTGGGACGACGACGACGACGCTAACAACGACGACGACGACGTGATAGCAATATACGACCCCAAAATGTTTTGCGGTCGTATAAAAATTTACTATAAAGGGCACTAACTCATTAAGGGATCAATTGACCATTTTGGTCATTTTGACTTATTTGTAGATCTTACTTTGCTGTACATTATTGCTGTTTACAGTTTATCTCTATCTATAATGATATTGAAGATTATAAACAAAAACTGCAAAATTTTCTTAAAATTACCAATTCAGGGGCAGCAACCTAACAACTGGTTGACTGATTTGTCTGAAAATTTCAGGACACATTGATCTTGACCTGATGAACAATTTGACCCCCCATAACAGATTTTGTCTTAATGCTTTGGTTTCAGAGATATAAGCAAAAATCTACATTTTAACCCTATGTTCTATTTTAGCCATGGCGGCCATCTTAGTTGGCGGGCCGGGTCATCGTACACATTTTTTAAACTAGATACCCCAATGATGATTGTGGTCAAGTTTGGTTAAATTTAATCCACTAGTTTCAGAGGAGAAGATTTTTGTAAAAGTTAACGCCAGGTGAGCTAAAAATAGAATTTAAACCATTCAGGTGTCCTTATTTCCAGTTTTAAGACGAGGAGAATAGCATTGAATATTAGGTTGAAGTATATAAATTTGAATTTAAGATATTAAGCTGATAAATTTTAGAAGATAAACTTTTAACACCTGGTGCAAAAAGGTATGCGTCAAAAAACTTATAATTTGTACACAACATATATATAACTTAAAGTCTTTATTTTTTATAGTACTTCCATAACTTACGGTAGACCAAATGACAAATCAAATCAAATCAAAAGCTTTATTCAAAGTCGGCATGTCACAAAACAATAACATAAGCTCTTTGGTCGTTTATAACCGACAAATACATACATTTACACAATAGACAATACTAATATCAAAGCATAAAAGACAGCACATATATGTCATGCAGAGTTAGGCAAGGCTGGACTAATTTAAATACTACACATTATATACATGCATGAGCACTAAACTCAAAGCAACATTAAAGCACCAACATAAAACACTAAAGCACAGCAGTCACAAAGTACAAAAAGCTAAGCAAATAAAACACAAAAATATTGGAAGTATAATGAGAAGCACTTCCATGTTTCAAGCTGTAAAGTTTTAAGAATGAACATGTGGTCACTTGTAATATATCCTTCTCTTGAACCACCTTGATTGACACCCAGTAAATCGTTTGACTCTATGAATATGTTCAATCTGTTTTGCAGCAGAAAAAATAAATAATTTAAATAAGCAACTTGAAACACATATACCTCTCTACTTGGTTATTACAATCGTTTAAAAATCAAAGAATCATATGAAAGATTCCATACTTTTGGAAATTTCAAACTTTGTAATAGTTTATTAAAAAGTTTTACAATAACAAGAACCATAGAAGAGGCACAATATTAAAAACACTCATTCAATATTAAATAAGGACCACCAGACTTATCAGATTTCAGTTAATTGAAACCTTTTTTTAACCTATTTACAAGTAAATAGTAATTCAGAGAACAACACCATGAAGAATGGGTGTTTTTTTTTTGTGTTTTCAAGTTCACTAGAAAATTTAAGTTCTAAATAATCTGAAATAACACAGATTGTTATATTCCACACATCTCTGCTTTGATATGGAACTGGGTGCCTGTGGGTTGTTATTTTTAAGATTGTTTTTTTGATTTTCAACAGGACTTTGAGTCTTAACAGTCTATACTATTAACTTGACTGATAAAGGTCATACAAAACTATAATAACATTTTCCAGAAATATTGATGTTATTGAATATGTTCAATACAATGTTATCTTTTTCTATACTGGAGAAATAAAGACCATTCATTAGTTTACAGTGTCAAGAGAAGCTAACTATTACGTATGTGTCACAACAACAAATAATTATATTAATTTTTAATTAAAAATTATGATAGCTAATCGATAATTCATAATATAACATAAATCTATAAGTGGTGTACTCCCCCGCTCAACATGCTCAAAGTTTGAGTGTTTATCCTTGCTCTAGATGTTTGTGAAGAGAATAAAACGGACGCATTTCTTTGCTCCATACAAGAGAAATAAAAATACAAATTGTATCATATGTATGTGTCCATACCCTATGTATATTTTGGAGAAGTTTTACTTGTAGCTGTAACACATGGACCTTGACAGTGCGATGTTTTTCCGTGAAATTTGCGCCAGGTAGATAACAAAATGATGTTGCAAAAATTGATCACTTGTATCAGAATGGCAGCCACAATAAACAACGCCATCAAAGTGTCTTGATGTGAATGTCCACATTCCTTCTTGTGTCCACCGCAACTGGTAGCGCCTCTAATATTTTCAATTGTAGGATACGTCAGTATACCAAACGAAGCACAAGTCAATCCAAAAAAAACTTTCCACTGTGAACAAAATAAAATACACGGCTTCAATTGACGAATATATGCTTAACATTAGATATTGTTACAATACACAATGAAGAACTTTAACAAAGCAGTTATTGTAGAGATTTAAAACTCGTGATGCCTAAAGTTTACTTACCGGTAGAAAACTAATTTCAACCGGAATATCACATCCTAATGTTTACAGTGATGTTGTTAACCGAGCCCGGAAATTAAGATACGTTGAATATTGTTTTTATTGATATACATATTGATTTTGTTATTAGAAAATTCAACCATACTAAATATTATTGTTATACACATATGCAAATTTACGGTACCACAGTCTGTCGATTCCTATATTTTGGCATTGCACAAGGTCATACTTTTCTCTGACGGTTAACGTAGTCTTTACACTAAATCTGTTGGATGTGTACGGATTGATATTTAAATCTTAGGTATAATTTTTTATTAGTTCTTATTGGCTTTGAATAAGCTGTCAGTATATGCGAGTACTCTCAGAACTATGCTGTGTGTCGTTTTTGTTGTGAGGGATGTATAAATACCCTGCCACATCCGGTCTGTGTTTTTGTTAATGTGTTTTCTGCTTTGTATCGATCTGATGAGTTAAGCCCTTTTAAACTAATTTTTTTCAGTTTGTTCATATGCTGTATTGTTACACTACTGTCTTATGATAGGGAAGGGTTGGCACCTTCACAAATATTCAACCCCGCCACATGCTGTATGTGCCTGTCAAAAGTCAGGAGCCTGTAGTTCAGTGGTTGTCGTTGGTTTATATCTGTCATATTTGTTTTTCGTAAATTGTTTTGTTTTAAAGTAGGCCTTTTATAGCCAAAGATACGGTATGATTTTTTCTCATGGTTGAAGGCCGTACGGTTGCCTATAATTGCTTACATCCACACTATTTGAACGTTGGTGAATAGTTTTCTCATTGGCAACCATACCACATCTCCTTATGTTTATAGCATTCTGTTGTATACCCATCCACCCCATGCCCACGCAAACACACGTTGTTCTTTGTTGGACTAAACCACGGCTGGAAAACAAGGCTTTTGAAATCTGTCTTATATGTTCAGACATATTTCTGTTTGTATTGGAACATATCATGCATTATTATTAGTTCACCAATCAAAATTTAAAGCCTTGAAGGACTGATCCTTCAGGACCATATATCTTTTCGCAACATTTAAGTGTATATATCTGAGCTGCATACTTTTAAGTCGTTTTTGTAATATTTTTTCAAGTCATTTCAATTGATATTTTATAGTGTTTCTTTTTATTTTGTAATTTTTACTCTACTGTCTCAGGTTAGGCTGATGGTTGGCGCCTGTTAAAACGTTTAAACCCGCTGCATCTTTATGCACCTGTCCTAAGTCACGAGCCTGTTGTTCAGTGGTTGTCGTTTGTTTAATGTGGTATATAGGTGTTTCTCGTTTTTTATATAGATTAGACCGTTGGTCTTCCTATTTGAATGGTTTTACACTAGTCATTTTAGGGGCCCTTTATATTTTGTTGTTCGGTGTGAGCCAAGGCTCCGTGTTGAAGGCCGTACTTTGTTTATTTATTGTTTAATAGTTATCTAAAACCCGGGTGGTACTGCAGAGTAATATTTCTGTTTATATATGATTGCGTTTGTTTTAAATGATTGAAGACTAATTTTCAATAGCCACATACCAGTGTTCTTTGCTTAGCTGTCTCTTCCTGTGTTGTTATAGATTCTGTAGCCATGGAGTTGGCTATAATTCCCATGCATCCAATAACAATTCCCTAAAATATACAATGTATTCATGATATATTACCAGGTATTTGTATAGCAAGAATAAATGTATGATCGATGATGGGAGAGAAATTATCATATCCTTTTTTTTCCTGACTTTTTAATACTACCGGTTGTAAAAACATTTGAAGGGTTTGAAAAGGAATAAAAAGTTTTTAAAACCGTGTAAGCAATTTTTTTTTACCAGAAAAAATATGTTTCTTAATCAAGCTTTAGGCATAAATGTCCCCTAGTTTATTATTGAAGCTTTATGTATAAATGTCCAATCGTTTATTATTGAAGCTTTAGGTATAAATGTCCAATCGTTTATTATTGAAGCTTCAACTAGGTGAAGCACCAACATAGGGTAGCTTGTACCATCCTGTGTCGCTAGAATGAGTCGACTAAAGGTAACAAGTACTTCCATAGACTCCGATATAGATAGGTGAGGCACCAATGATAGGGTAGCTTGTACCATCCTGTGTCGCTAGAATGGCTAAAGGTAACATGTACTTACATAGACTCCGATATAAATAGGTGAAGCACCAATGATGGGGTAGCTTGTACCATCCTGTGTCGCTAGAATGGCTAAAGGTAACATGTACTTACATAGACTCCGATATAGATAGGTGAGGCACCAATGATAGGGTAGCTTGCACCATCCTGTGTCGCTAGAATGGCTAAAGGTAACAAGTACTTACATAGACTCCGATATAGATAGGTGAGGCACCAATGATAGGGTAGCTTGTACCATCCTGTGTCGCTAGAATGGCTAAAGGTAACATGTACTTACATAGACTCCGATATAGATAGGTGAGGCACCAATGATAGGGTAGCTTGTACCATCCTGTGTCGCTAGAATGGCTAAAGGTAACATGTACTTACATAGACTCCGATATAAATAGGTGAAGCACCAATGATGGGGTAGCTTGCACCATCCTGTGTCGCTAGAATGGCTAAAGATAACAAATACTTACATAGACTCCGATATAGATAGGTGAAGCACCAATGATAGGGTAGCTTGCACCATCCTGTGTCGCTAGAATGGCTAAAGGTAACAAGTACTTACATAGACTCCGATATAGATAGGTGAGGCACCAATGATAGGGTAGCTTGTACCATCCTGTGTCGCTAGAATGGCTAAAGGTAACATGTACTTACATAGACTCCGATATAGATAGGTGAGGCACCAATGATAGGGTAGCTTGTACCATCCTGTGTCGCTAGAATGGCTAAAGGTAACATGTACTTACATAGACTCCGATATAGATAGGTGAGGCACCAATGATAGGGTAGCTTGCACCATTCTGTGTCGCTAAAATGGCTAAGGGTAACAAGTACTTACATAGACTCCGATATAGATAGGTGAGGCACCAATGATAGGGTAGCTTGTACCATCCTGTGTCGCTAGAATGGCTAAAGGTAACATGTACTTACATAGACTCCGATATAGATAGGTGAGGCACCAATGATAGGGTAGCTTGTACCATCCTGTGTCGCTAGAATGGCTAAAGGTAACATGTACTTACATAGACTCCGATATAAATAGGTGAAGCACCAATGATAGGGTAGCTTGCACCATCCTGTGTCGCTAGAATGGCTAAAGGTAACAAGTACTTACATAGACTCCGATATAGATAGGTGAAGCACCAATGATAGGGTAGCTTGCACCATCCTGTGTCGCTAGAATGGCTAAAGGTAACAAGTACTTACATAGACTCCGATATAGATAGGTAAGGCACCAATGATAGGGTAGCTTGTACCATCCTGTGTCGCTAGAATGGCTAAAGGTAACATGTACTTACATAGACTCCGATATAGATAGGTGAGGCACCAATGATAGGGTAGCTTGTACCATCCTGTGTCGCTAGAATGGCTAAAGGTAACATGTAATGATAGGGTAGCTTGCACCATCCTGTGTCGCTAGAATGACTAAAGGTAACAAGTACTTACATAGACTCCGATATAGATAGGTGAAGCACCAATTATAGGATAGCTTGCACCATCCTGTGTTGCTAGAATGACTATTCCTATAATAATCAGAATCGGAGATACACCACACTGAATAAGCGAAATGATTTTTTGGAACTGTAATCCTTGTCTTTTGCGTGCGACTGAAATTTAAAAAAAATGTTAAATGATAATACAATATGTATAGAACATGGAAATACTAAACCGTGTAATTCTATTACATAATATTATTACTGGGAATGAGTTTTAAAAATGAAGCGATGTTAATCAAGTTTAACACAAATGTATGATTACCAACCCCGCCCTATATGCTGTGTATGGCTGCTTATTTGTTATCACTAAATCCTAACATAAAAACCCAGTATTTTTTTTTTTATCAAACTGTGAAACCTATTTTATTCAATGGTAGTGCAGTATGAAGAAAGTTTAATTCCCGTTCATCCAAATGTATCTACAATATATGAACATTGTCGGAAAATATAAAATTTATTTGTACGAACTTCAGAAACAGGAAGGCTTTTCTCCTCTTTCGTAGCGAGTACAAATACATTTTACATTTCCGACAATGTACATATATTGTTTTTATTCTGCAATTTACACCCGCTACTTGAGCATTAGTTGTTTAAATCCAAATCATTGCCTCTGATTTTTCAAAGAAATCGACATAGTTGAAACGAGGACCGCGAATAGGACCCCAAAATAAACTGTTACCCAGAAAGGAATACCCATATTACCGTTTGCTCAACATGGAAGCGGGTAACAGGAGACTTTATTTGTACATGTACAAATAAAGCAAAAATTTATGTGTGTACCTGTTATTTGTACAATAGTTGCAGAATAAAAGAAAGAAGGTGTATCTATCAAAAAAGTATATTCAGGTTTATAGTTGTAGTTTTTCAAGTAAAGCTCTGTAGACTTCAGTCAAAAATGAATAAGGTTTCTGCATAATTGAGGGTCTTGGTGAGGTTTACACTAAAGAGAAAAATGTGCAAAATTAGCAGGATAAAGGGAAAAAGATATAAAGAATAAAGAAAATAGGGCTAAATAATAAAGAAAAGAGAAACATGGGGTGCTGAAATATAAAGTATAGTGAATAAAGGCCAAAATAAATAAAGACTTGAGAAACATGGGGTGCTGAAATATAAAGTCTAGTGAATAAAGGCCAAAATAAATAAAGACTTGAGAAACATGGGGTGCTGAAATATAAAGTCTAGTGAATAAAGGCCAAAATAAATAAAGAATAGCGAAAAATGGTCTAAAAGTTAAAGAATAAAGAAATGAAGAACCTCTGTCCTGATCCTCATAAATGTCAACGACCGGCTAAAATCTCAGTTAATTTCAGTTTGAAAAATATCAACCATTAAATAATCTTGCTTGAAATTTTCCAAATACATCACGGTAAAAAGTTTACTTCAATGTAAAATTGTTTACTATTATATATTTCTTTATAGCCTTAACCAAATCAGTATAGATTGGATGTTATGTGACTCGTTAATATCCATGATATTGTCCACATGCATGATTAAAACCTGCTAAAACATCTCAATGGTTTCTTTACTCAATTTTGGTGATAACGTAATAACGTAATGAGGAATACTTAACAATGAACAACTGTTAAACCTCTTCTCTAAACAGTTACAAAAGAAATGTTTTGACGTTTTTAAAACAACCAGAGGACAAATAACCAGAGGACAAATATTTGCATTTTCTCATTGTTGTTGTCTATATTTGCAAAGCATTTAAATTTTTCCGAACTCGGAAAGTGAAATATATCTCTTGTTAAATTATAAGGACACTTTAAGAAAAAACACAATTATTCATTGCCAAAATTTAAAATATCCAGTTTATGTTAAACATATAGGTATACTTAATATATACTAAATATAGATTACAAATATAAATCAATTGTTTTAAAAACAATTGTTTACGGTCTTTCCCCTCCGAAACATGATTGATTGATTGATTGATTGATTGATTGATTGATTGATTGACTTATTACACACGTGAGATAGGGTCGCTTGAAACAAGCAAACACGAAACAAATAAGATCTTGGACCCGTATTAAACACAAAGGACCGAAACATGCATGTAATGGTTGGTTGGTTGGTTGGTTGGTTGGTAGGTAGGTAGGTAGGTAGGTAGGTAGGTAGGTAGGTAGGTAGGTAGGTAGGTAGGTAGGTTGGTTGGTTGGTTGGTTGGTTGGTTAAACACATGAGGCCGAGCCACTAGGACAACGCGAAAAGGGAATTGAGAGTCTAGTGCCCGTGTTTAAACACGTGAGACCTAGCCTCTAGGAATACGCGAAAAAGGAATTGAGAGCCTAGTTCCCGTGTTTAAACACTTGGGACCTAGGCTTAAGGAATACGCGAAAAAGGAATTGATAGCCTAGTTCCCGTGTTTAAACATTTGGGACCTAGGCTTAAAGAATACGCGAAAAAGGAATTGAGAGCTTAGTTCCCGTGTTTAAACACTTGGGACCGAGGCTAAAGGAATACGCGAAAAAGGAATTGAGAGCCTAGTTCCCGTGTTTAAACACTTGGGACCTAAGCTTAAGGAATACGCGAAAAAGGAATTGAGAGCCTAGTGTCCGTGTTAAAACACTTGGGACCTAAGCTTAAGGAATACGCGAAAAAGGAATTGAGAGCTTAGTTCCCGTGTTTAAACACTTGGGACCTAGGCTTAAGGAATACGCGAAAAAGGAATTGAGAGCCTAGTTCCCGTGTCTAAGCACTTGGAACCTAGGCTTAAGGAATACGCGAAAAAGGAATTGAGAGCCTAGTTCCCGTGTTTACACACTTAGGACCTAGGCTTAAGAAATACGCGAAAAAGGAATTGAGAGCCTAGTTCCCGTGTTTAAACACTTGGGACCTAGGCTCAAGGAACTGCGAAAACGGGTCCTTGCAACATGTTTATTTATATTCAAATTATGACATTTGTAGGAACATGCAAGGATTTAAACACACTTACAAAAAGTATCCTTGCATTTTCCTTTATAAATGTTCTCATTTTTTATGAGGCTTCCCAGTACTTGTGTCTTATTTACTTATTGTGTGTGCATTGTTTTAAATTTTATAATTAAAGGACATCGGACCTAACTTGCATGGATCTTTTGTATTTAACCCTGTACGTGCACTTTTCAATTCTTTTCGAAAAGGGGAAAACCCCTATTTTATTTTAAGTAGCACGCGCTGCACCGGATGGATGGTGTGATTGTGACGTCACCAAGCTGATCGATATACACAGAAAGACTTATTTTAAAATTTAGTTGCAGAGGGATTGTCGTCAAGACCAGACCTGTGTATAAAGATTGTCAGCTAACGGATTTAAATTTTCTTTCATTTACAGGTCATTGATGTCGGATCATGCATGCTCTTTTCGTACATATATTTACGGGAACACAGATTTGTTTTTTTAATGCATGCTTAGAAATTTGATTCTAGGATTTTACTACTATTTACGAACTTTTGAGGGATTTCTACGCCATTGATTTTAAATTTCTCAATCCAGATTGGAACGTCAAGCGGACTGCACGTGATTTATACTGCTAACGGAAAATATATATTTTCTCGAATTAGTTTACAGGTAAACTATTGTCCGAGCGCTGACCACTGGTCGACTCATTCATTGCATGCACACAAAAATAATGCTGGCCTTATAGTACTTTAACAAAAGGTTTATCGATTAATTTTTAGAAATACATGTACATGATTTGGAGCAGATTTTATTTTGCAGGAATAGATTTGTATTTCAGAAAGAAATGTATTCATAAAAAAAAGAAGGATTAGCATTTTTAAAATAAAATAGAAATGGGATTCCTAAAGAAAAAGGGGGGGCTAGATGGGTAGTTGTGGGCATTGGATGATTTACAAAGATAAATTGCATGTACGCATCATGAGAGCTGTAAAATTTGAAGCTATAATTAGTTAATTTGTTCATTTTTCCATTTCAGTGGCATGAAAACCCCCAAAATACTACGCGTATCATTTCGACAAATACTCTCGACTTAAATAATGTCGTGACTAACATTTTGCTCACATTTTTTTAAATTTTACCCCTAACTTTTTTCTGAGTAAAAGCAGTTTGAAGTGAATGTCAAAATTTAGAACATGACCTTGACCTTTGACCTTGACCTAATTTTCTAAGTTGGGACCCAAGGACCTTCAATAAAGCTACTCTAGGTTTATACGGCTTACGGTTTATGAGTTTATATGCATATCACTTATATCAAATGCATAAAGGGAAATAACTCTCATATGGAGACTCCGGAGTACTTTGGTGCAAACCGACTCATCATCTTGAAGATATAGCAAGCACTTTGGTAAAATAAATTTGTCGTAATCTTTTACGGTTGCGAAGGAGTAGTGGACACAAAAAAAACAGTGTTCGGGGAGATAACTCTTACAACGTAAAGTGTACGGTTTAACAGGGTCAATTTCAAAAGCGCAATAACTGTTCGATATCATATGCGAAAAATCTAAGCGACATCTTGCGAAACCACAATACTACGCAAGAACAAAATGTGGCGGAAGAACAAAATAAAATCTCAGAACAAAACCAATAGGTCTTTCCACGGAAAAGTGGAAAGACCTAAAAATAGACGATCATGACAAAACCGACAGAAGTAGTAAATACGCATAAAAATAAATGCATATAAATATAATTCCAAATAGCAAATATATTCTTTACTACGATTAACATGTTGATTCATAACGCATAATCTGTTGATTTTCCTTATCGTTTTATACATAAGTTATATACAATACCGTATTGAGATTTATCGACGCGCGCGCATTAAGGACAAAAAAACTAGGACGGAGATTGTACGGTTAACGTCCTTCTAGCAGAGACATACATATGTGTATTTACGTCTTTGCTTCTAGTGATGAAATTGTTTACATAATAAAGAAAGTTTTACATTTTAAATTGAATAAATGAGGGTGCTGATGGAACAAGTGAGGGTGATAATTGAACAACTTATTCAATGGAGATTTGTATATAGACTAACATTGGTTTGTCTGTTAAAAAACTCATATCAGCATGTCAAACAATTATTAATTCTGTACAAATTATTACCTTAGTTCAGTAAATACACCAGCGGATAAAAGGGTAGTGTGTGGCATGTCAGATATCGCGAATTAAGATTAAATAGGACAATGCATGTAAAAATGATGTCAAAATAGAGAACTGGAAAGAAATCTATCATATCTATTTTGACGTAAAGTAGTCAAAAGACACATATTTCGAAAAACGTAGACATTGACTGTTCTACATGTATGTTGAAGCTTAAAGCTCGTTTGTTTTCAAGCTGTACCATTCTCCGCTCCTCTCGCCTATATGTATTGTTAAATTTTAAGGACATTTGGAAAATCGCTTGCTTTCTATTGAAATGTATTTTTTGTAGAACATTACTATATATATGAGGGTGTGGACGGGGGCTTACATAATATAAAATAATGAACAAAAATATAAAGAATAGTGAAAAAAAGGTTCTAAAATATAAAGAATAGATAATAAAGGGCAAAAGTATAAAGAATAGAAAAAAATGGTCTAAAAAAATTAAAGGATACAGAAATGATCGAAGGACCCCCATCAAAACCTTTGTATTTATAAAAAAAAATAATTACATTTTTAATTGCTGGAAATAGTCATAATAAATGATACGAGGTTGTCGATCATTACAAAAATGACCTAGTAAAAAAACCCAATAAAAACACGATATAGATGAAATTAACAATGCACACATACATTAGATATACATAAACAAAGGAAAGATAAAAATAGCTCACCGAACCCTATCATATTTTACATAATAAATAATTAATATAATACCTGCTTCTTCATCGAATCCCATGATTTCTTTAATTTTATGTTTACTAATCCGACTAGACCTGCGTTTGTGTACGATTTAATAGATTGCATCCTTTTTAAACTCAGTCCGTTTCGAAATACTTACCTTGGTTTTTTAATTTGTAAACAAGGGGTCATCTCAAAGTGTATACGTTTTGTATATATTACGGTAATCCCAAATAAAATCGATCCTTTTATTCAGCTGTAAATAGAAATACATCATCTTTGTCATAAAGAAAAGATGCATAGAGATTCGATTTTAAATTACATTAAATTATAAAATATTGATTTATAAAACATTTTGAACATGTTAGAATTTAGCATAATTTCAATCTGCAGATAGATAATTACGGTTTTCCATTAAATTAATTTTTTTACGTGAAAATATATTAATGGTATCGACGTTTAAAAAAATACATACATGTGTTAAAAATTAACTCAAATGAAATATACATATTCATAAATAACTTTAAAAAGATTGTGATCGAGCAACCGAACACAACTGAACAAAAAAGTTCTAGGAGTGAACTAAGGTGCTCTGGATATTATTTATGCATGGAATTGTCAACATGTGACACATTTGCTTGCCTACGTAGTTGTGTTGCATCTAAACTATTGCATTAAAGATGTTAATGGTTTTAGTTTGAAATACTGATGGATAAATACCATTTGCATTGTTAAGGACCAAGAAATTAAACAACAAAGAAAGGAATATCGAACTGAAATATGAATTCATGGTTAAGACAAAAAAAATGTATTATTGTCAAATAAACCAGTATAAAAAAGAGGACGTACGTGCACTAGATTATTATTAACTTACCTAAAATATACTCAACTACTGTAAAATTATGTGAATGAGGCTCAATTCATTTAATTAAATGAGAAAGCATCGATTTAACTTATTTTCACGTGAAAAATTTCATGTAAAGCGTTAACGATAATTTCACATGAAAAAAATTCAGGTTAATTTCACGTGAATCAGCATTACTACATTTCACGTGAATTTAAAGTGAAATATTTCACATGAATTTTTCGTATAAGCTCGATAGAAATATTAAGCCTGTGTACCGTAAAGTCGGCTATAAACTTATTAAAAGGGGCCGATCTTTCGTCTTTATTGTCATTTATCTCGTGACGTTTACAATTCGATCAATATTATTACCCAGTAGGATACCTTTAAGGCTGAAAGTTGACAAAACAGAACGATACAATGGTTTAACGTATTTTGAGACGATCCCTATAACCATTAAATAAACAAGTTGAAAAACATAGACTGTTGCAAATGATTGGCTATTGCACATCGTCTATGAATCAATATTTGACTGAAATACTATTCTGTCGCTAATAAATATGTGGTTATATATATATATTTTTTATAATTGTAATCTCGAACAAGCTGCATGTGTCAGAAGACGGTTTAATTTCAGATAGAATGTATCAAGCAAGTTGCTTTCTTTAATAAGGAAATGCAATCGTGATCCTAAATGCCTGTTTCGTATGAAAGATCAGATAATTGTTATATAAAGATGATTGATTTAACCTCATTTACTTGTTGAGTATAACATGTAGAAGATGTAGAAAAACTGACACGAATTCTTAATGAAATTGCTATTCAATGTTGGGCATATATTTCCTGTTAAAGAAATTATTTCTCTCTCTCTTTCGATAGATACAAAAACTTATGTGAAGCCATGCTTAATATAAGGTTTGTTTGGAAATTAGAGGCAGTTTCCTGGCTAAAACCGACATGTACATGAGAAAAGTACTCTCAGTTTTGGAGAAATTTAATGAATTGAATAATGATTTTTTTTGTTTTTGTAGCCAGTTTAATATTGTTCAAAAGTTCCCTAAGTTAAACTAATCCCGAACCTTCCCGTTTTGGAAAACCAATAACACTGGTTTGTATGGCTTGATCATTTGCATTATATTCAAGATATGATTGATATCAATTTATATCCGCACTCAAATCTGGCTTTTAGATCAGACAGTTTGAAACCTTAACTTTATACTTAAATAAGTTCGTTCAAACAAATCAATTTTCACATTTCATAACGAGTCCTTTAGTAGATTAGCCAAAATATAATGAAGTGCGTATGGTGGTGGGTTTGGGGAGTGGCGAGGGTTGTCACATACCACAATGATATCAATCAATGTGCCTTAGAATCGTTTTATATATATAGAATTAATTTAAGGACTCAAACGAATACTCATTAACGAACTGTTTTGATGTGCCATATAACGTCTGCATTATTCTGTATTCATAACTTTAAAGGTGTCTTTAAATTTCGTCGTAATTCCCAGGGTTAACTCGCATTTTTTAATGCAATTAAGTTTGCCTGCTTTATATATAAAATAGAAGATGTCGCAGTGGTATGATTGCCAATATGACAACTCTCCACCAGAGACCAGATGACGTAAACGTTAACAACTTATGTCACCGAACAACCGTCAAAAAAAGCAAAACCCATATGATATCGCATAGTAAGCTATAAAATGACAAATGTAAAACAATTCATACACAAAAACTTACTACGTGATGATGTCATGGAGTTGTCTTTTATTATTGATTTTGTTTCCTTATCTATATTTTATGAAAATGGAGAGTCTTAATTACTATATATAGAAATTCATTGTCTTATCTCTACCTGTATCTATCATCACTCAGTCTCTATAAAAGACATTGTTTTTTTTTTTTTGTATTTATCTTTCACAATCGTCATAATACCGCTTTAAATACTTTTTTTTAACTAAACAAATACAAAATAATCTTATTGTATTATCATATATCTGCATTTAACACATCTCGACGTATCTAAGGTTGAGTTTTTTCTTTGATTTGTTTTGTATCTATTTCAATTTGTATTTTTATAATTTTTATAACGATTAAGGGCATATTGTTCCAAAAGTTTACCGATTAAAGTAATGAAATTCTAATAATAATTTCATTGTTCGATGTCTTTCCTGTTTAAAGAGACTCTTCTTTACTAACGCTAAAATAGCTCAGTTTTAAACCTAAAAAAACACCCTATCCAATGTGGACACATCTTGTAATGAAGAAAACTTAATATATGCGACTCAAGTTTAATTAATTACTGATGTACAAATGAAGGATAATAACCAACCTCGATTGACACTTATCTCTATAGAATTGCAACTGTAAAACGCTTATACACATTCATCATGTTCATCATGTTCATTGCATCAATTAAAAATAACTATTATACGCAGGCAGCCATAGAAAAAAATCCAGATGTATTTAAAGAGACAGTAGGCTAGACATTTTCGGTATTCCGGAAGACTACCAAAACAACCAATATGTATGCGTAAACCCTTATGGGAACAATTAAAGAGGGTTCGATGGTTTCGAGTCCAATCGACAACTGGTACAGTGGAGGGCAATCATTTTTGTATCATTTCTGAATTTTAAAGTACGAAAATCGGTCTTATAATACCAGTATTTGTAGGATCTATTTGCCCGTCGTTGATATAACACTTCAACAGTTCAATGAATTTTCGCTTCACAGGTGCGACTTTTTGCCGAAGGCTTCACTGTAACTAATGAAGTCCTTAGTAAGGTGGGACTGGCATTTGCGCTTTCCTCGGAGTTCGGTTTTATAGTAATTTTACTTTTTGATAGGTCATTGGCAGGTTTTGTAATGAACATTTGTAGATCAAACTTATACGTTCAGTGTATGTTTACTAGTTTTTGTTTAAATTTCTTTTTGATCGAGTTAAGCCATTTCAATTGATATTCTATAGCGTGCCTTTTTATGTTGTAATGTTACAATACTGTCTCAGGTTAGGGTGAAGGATCGCGCCTGTTAAAACGTTTAAACTCGCTGCATTTTTTAGCACCTGTCCCAAGTCAGGAGCCTGTTGTTCAGTGGTTGTCGTTTGTTAGTGTGGTTCATAGGTGTTTTCTCATTTCTCGTTTTTTATATAGATTTGACGGTTGGTTTTCCTGTTTTAATTGTGACTTGGATGGAGAGTTGTCTCATTGGCACTCATACCACATCTTCTTATTTATATTTGCGCTATTTTAAAAAGGACATTTGCGTTTCTAGGCAGCGGCTATTCTTCCGGTTAGCCGGAAAAATAACACAAAATGTCTATTCTTCCGGCCATCCGGAAGAATAGCCTTTCTCTCCCAGTATGCATTATTCCGGCCATACATAGCAATGAATAATGAATATAACATGTATTTGGTTAAGTGGTTATTGTAGCATCCAATGGGAGAATGTACTGGCAAAAAATGTCCTCCCATGCAAACACTGGTAATTGGAACTATTCATTTTTTCCCGCGTTACTGAGTATAAACTCAAGATAAAACGTTCTGGAAAAAAGTAAGATTGGAAAAAAAAATAAAAAACAGAATTATCATGGGATTAAGCTCCTCAAGTACCAACTTTATTTCATTTTTCTACTGGCTGTTCTACGGAACACGCCGATTCCCCGAAAATATAAACAGCTTTTCAAATGAGATCAAAAGAAGAACATCAACGTCGATTGATATGCAGCACAAATACTTTTGAATTAAAGTCACTTGTCAAAAAATTGTGCAAAAACCTTTCCATTTACGAAAACAAATCAAAATGCAAATAAATTTACTTCATAATATACGGCATATCATTCAGAATTTTTTTTTTATTCTAAGAGAATGAGGGGGGGGCAAACATGCCTCTCCTCTTTTTATGTTCTACCTATGAATTTCCTGCAAGGTTAGGAGTCTGTCCACTGGTTTATGACTTCAATGGACATCTATGATTCCTAAATATTATTCTGACTTTATCGTTTCCTTGACGTTTGGTTCCAATGAAGTCGTCGAATGATATTGCACGATTTTTTATTTAAATTGTTCTGCGATTTTTAACACATAATAATTAAGAGAAAAGGGTATGCACATGTAAACTGCCCCCAAAGTAAGATTGTGTTTATGATAGCAAAAACATAATTATTGATATTTTTTATTGAGAAAATAAATAAAACAGAATAAAATAGTAGTAGAACTTAGAAATAATGCATCCAAGTATATTTGATTTAGTCGTTTTCCTGTGAACTGTTTTTAAGCGTTTTGCTTTCACTGATACAGGTAACGATAATGGGGTAAATCAG